CTTCGATTTCACGTTACACAAGGATTGCACCTGATCTTGCGATCTACATATAAAAATTTCCTTTTTTGGATTTGTATTACTTGCGCAAATAAGTGTACGCATCATCACCTCTCTATTATATATTTATTTAAGGAACCAAAATTTAGAGTTAGGGTTAGGCAGGGTTAGAATAAAGAAGGTGAAATTGCATATAAAATTTTGTGCTGAAAACTTTTAATTAGTGCACAAAGGTTATTGCCATAGTAAAATAACTTGTTATCGATGTTTTTTGGCTTTTTTTCTTAGTTTCGCTATTGTTTTGGTTACACAATATCCTACGATTTGATTGGTCGAACATATGAGCGGTGATGATCACCTGCGGTGATGTTTAGCAATACTCTTTTTTTTCACTCTTCTGGCACCATATCATTATAGTATATTGCCGAAGAAAGTTTAAATGAATTTCTCGAATGATATTTTTAATTAGTTTTTTATATTCTAGAAATTATAAATGTCATCAGTTTGATACTTTAAAGCAAAATTCTCAAGTCAATATTCTTATAAATTAAATTTCTATTAAGTTCATGTTTCATTTTTAGCTATATAAAATCTTTCTTTTTTTTTTAGTTTACAAATAATAATTTACAATTCATCATGCACAATTTTAGGACTATTATTCTCAAGACAAACAGCTGGAGTAATCATCTTCATATGATACTCGCATTTTTCAGGTTCAGAGACTGATAGGATTTCATTTTTGGCTCCACATTCAAGATATACCTGCATATTTGAAAAAAATTTTTTGGTTACTAAAAAAAATAATGAATAAATTTGTTTATTGTTTTCATCAATAAATAAGATACTTAACCTTAACGGATCGAGCTGGTCCATTCCAACATCTAGCTCCATTTTCATAAAGCATTTGAGTATAGTGTTGTGGATCATCTTTTGATTCGGCCCCAATCCACTTCGCAAAAGTGCTATATTTAAAAAAATATATATTATAATAATAGATTACAATAAGGATAAATTTAAATGATAAGGTAATTATATTTAAAAGGTTGTACCCTAAATCTGTTGATGTATGATCTTTGTTACTCTTTTGCGTTACACTGCCGAACATACATAAAGTGTATGTATATCTAAAATGTATCATAGTTCAAATTAAGTCAGCTATTATTGTACATATTGACAACGTACAAAAAAATACGCACTCTCCAGAATCATGATCAAAGCAATCATCATCTAATTTGGCAAATTCATCTTCCAAACCATAATTTTGTGATAATTTGGAATTAATTTCATCAATACTGTCCTCTATATCTTTCTGTTCTTGTTCAGCTCCTTCGTATGCGCTACGAGCAGCGGATAATGCTAGTTTGCGCAAAAAAAAAAATATAGAAGGTTAGGTCGTTATAGGTTTTTTTTTCTTTAAATTATATCAAACAAATTATATTTATGCAATGCTGGTCGTTATGCGGATTACCTTTTGAGGTTCTATATGAACTATAAGAGCGATTGCTTTTATCATAACTTTGTAATCCAAATAACTCCAGCACATCATCTTTAAT